ATATATATATATATATATATATATATATATATATATATATATATATATATATATATATATATATATATATATATATATATATATATATATATATATATATAAGAACAATGGAATGTATTAGTAGCAAGTTGATGTAAACAAGTTGAGCTTCAATAATTGCTATCAATCATTGAAATGAATTTACTTCGTTGGTGATTTCAATCCTTGAGCTATATCATGAAAAGATATTGGAGCTCAAAATGACTATTGATAAGTGTTGAAGCATTCGTGAAAAGAATTTGATTATAATTTCAAAAAAGTTTAAAATTTCAAACATTCATCATGTTTTCCTGTTCAATGACTAATTAACAAATATTGAAAAAAGTAAACATTTTTGAAGCATTATTTCAGTGCTAAAAGATAAAGAAACGAATAGCAAATGAAACCGGTATTTTATAGAGTGGAACAATATTGAGAAAGAGATCCGGCTCAATCCTGCAAACATGCATACTCGTAGATAACTTAAAGCATATGTATGATGCAAACATGTATGTGTATCCGGTTTCTATATGATATTTAGTTAAAAATGAATAGATAACCTATTGGAATGTGAATTTTGATAATTGATAGGTCTAATATAATTGTGTTTGATAAATTTAATAAATACTTCTCATGGTTCCACTTTATGATCGGTGCATTAATGATCAATGCCAGCTCATGTTTTGATATCACGGAAACATGAAATGATTTGAAATATAATGAGAGCAATGATTAGATGGGATTAGTTAAAATATTTTTATTTTAAATTTTGGTCTAATAAATAATCATTTAAATTTTAACCAATTACAGAATTAATTAATAGCTCTCATCGCTGATCCCCTCTGAAATTACTGAAATTAGCTCGTGCAATATTACAATTTTTATATATTCACGGAAAAAAATTCACCGGTTCAATTATACATCAAAAAAATTTGATATGATAACAAACATAAAAAACTCTCTCAATTTTAATTTCAGCTCTAATTTCAAGAGAATTTTAAATGATAATATAAATTCCAAAAATCAATCAATATTGCTATTTTTAAACGTTTCAAGAAGTTAGCAAAAAAAATTTTTGCAAACATGACATGCAAACATGCAAACATGAACATTATTTGCACGAATCATTGCGATTAGCCTTTTTCATTGTTGCAAAAAATTACTCTATTAGGTGACTTTTATTTTGTAACTTAATTATGCAATATGATTCATTTAAAATCAACCCATTCAAATGTATAATTGCTTCTGTTCTCATAATAATGCTTTTTATCGTCGTCAGAAAGTGATAGGAACAAAGTTCGAAGCACAGGATGAGCTGAAGATATTGTCATATGTACATCTCACGATATTTGAAATGAAGAAAGAGAACTGGTTTAAATCCGGTTTTTTTTTAGAAAACCATATATTGATACTATTAAAACTATCATTCCTAATTAATTGTTGTCGCCATATCACAGAGATAAATTGCAAGATGAACAGTTGTCTACGAATTCAAATTTATCATCGCTATGATGATAAATGAGCGGATTGTGATACCCTAGAGACACATACATACGGACACATACACACACACAGACACATACACATACACACACACACACACATACACACACACATCTTTTTGACTAAACTTTACATACATCTATGATTTTGTGATAATGCTTCCATGAATGTTTAATGATTGCGCGATAAGTTCATTTTTGATAGTTTTTATTTTTTTTAAAAAAAAACTGATAACGCCAATTTTTCGGTCACATGCCCATGTTGTCACATACATTTTATGCCAGATGACATAATTCATGAAATTTGTAAAAATCACTGAAATAAAACAATTGTAAAATTAAAGTTAATGTCATTTCAATTATGGCCAAAATTCACTTATGATTAAAGTAAAAGAAAATTTCAAATTGTAAATTTTTAAAAGCGAGAAGGAAGGAAGAAACGTAGACTTTAATATTAACATTTAATTTATCATTATTTTATCAAATTTATTTATCAAAAAATTTTAGTAAATAAAAAGTAAATAAAAACAAATAACAAAAGAAATTTTAACAAATAAAAAGGAAATTCGATAAATTTTCAAGGAATTCTAATAAGTAAAAATAACATTTTAATAAATAAAATATATATAGCAGCACTTCTTCAATAAATGGAAAATTTCCATTCCTTCATTCATTTTAAAATAAATAAAAAGCGAAGTTTAGTAACGAATAAATGTTAGAGTTGTTTTTTTTGAAAGAATTTCAATAAAAAATGTTAATAACAATTAAAGTAATATGCATTTTTGCCAATATATTTGTTTAATTATCAAACATTTTTCATTACTTCAATCATTTCAAACGATATTTTAAATCAAAAAAAGAAAAAGAAAGACTACTGAATGTTACTATTAACTTCTTAATATTCCTTGATTTATTTAGGTTTATTCAAATGGATGTTACTCAAATTCAATTTTATTCAAGTATGAAAAAAAAAGAAAAGATATGAAATATGTGGAACAAAAATACATCGAGATAGAAATAAAATATACTAGGATGGAACAAATAAAATGATAGAGAAGATAAACGAGAAGAAGCTAAAGAATTAAATAGGATAAAATGATAGAGAAGATATGATAAGATAAGGAAAGAAGTGATACGATATGTGAGAAATGAATGATTATCCACCAAATATGTTTATGATAACTTTAATCTTTTCTAATTAAAATTCTACAAAATGCTACACATATATCCTTGCATTTTTTTTTAAATGATTGAATTATGGTATTTTGTATCATTTATTAGAAAAAAAAATGCTCTCAATCATTGCTATAATTACTAATCATTGATATTTCTTTATTCTCTCAATCTATGTAATTGTATCGTCTTCTTTTGAATATCATTCCCTATCGATCTCTGATTTTTTTTTGTTCTTTTTCTTTCTTTTTCTCTATCGTTTACAATTATCATAAAGTATAGCCGCATATATAATCAATTAAATTGAAGACATACTATTTTGTAAAATTTTATTCTCACCCTTTTCTAGTTTGTCTTTTTTTTGATTTTAGGTCTCTGATTTATTTCTATCTTTTTCCTCAGACTAGACAAATCTTTCGTCCTACTCTCAATCTTTATCATATATATCGCTTAATCAAAGATTTCTTGCTCAACTATACATATTTTCCAAACTTTCTGCTTCATTAACAATCTGCAGGCAAATTATATTTTCTAGTTCAAGCGATCTTTCTCGTACCCTCTTCGAAATCATTGTATTTCTCACTAAAGAGAACAATGTCTCCACATCCTTCATATGTCCGGAAAACGGTTAAATTATGTTCAGGAAGGAGATTTGGTCGAACGTTTTTTGCCGTATTTGCAATGTTTTACCTTTTCCGATTAAGTTTTTGTTTCAATTTCACTTCTTCACTTCTTTATTTTTTAATATTTAAGTATGTTCGTATAATTTTTCTTGATCTGATCACTACGATAAAACTACCTAACTGGATAGCTTTCCCGACTTCTTAATTCTAATTATCCGGTAGTTCTCGTGGATTTTCATTCCTCATAACTGATTGACACTTGGGAATTTTTAATTGTCCGGTTTTACAGTCATTCAGAATTGTCCGATCATATTCATCATAATGTATAAGACATTTCCTGATTTTCTGGAAAAGATTCACACGCTAAGCTTCATTCATTTACTTCATTCATTCTACCCTTGTTGTCATTTTAGACTTCTGATACTTGAGTCTAATTTATCTGCTATAAATTAGGAGAGACAGTCTTAATTACCTAAACTAAATAATAAACAAAAGTCTAGTTGTGGTGTCTCCAAATTTGGGATAGAATGAGGATGATACATCAGAATGATTAACAAGCTTTTGTGCTATTACAAGTTAAAATCTTTTCTTGCTTCAGGTCAAAACTTCAAATGTTGAGTCGTCAAGTGCAAGCTTGGCATACATTATGCAGGTTTACAGGAATTGTAAATAAGAACACGCGAAACTGTGCGACAAATGTTTCTGGCAAAACTGTAAAGGACAAGAAGCGTATGCAATTCTTGATTTTTTCTTTTCCTTTTGTTTAAGAGGAATTTAAAGTTTAAACTTTAGTAAAAATGAATTTGTACGGTTTCTTAGTGCAGTTCATTTTAGGCCGAAATATTACCATGTTTTATTCCCTACCTAGGTATTTTTATTTATTTCATTTTTCAAAAAACTTTCCGACAACTAATTTCTAAATTTGAGAAGTCACTTTCAGCAACAATTTGGAAAATTGACGATATGAAACGTGAGAAATTAGCTAAATTTGGTCGATACTGTGCGGAATGTCTGCCGAAATTTGTACAAAGAGTACAGGTTTTCTTAATTTTCCATTTACATCTTCAACATGAATATCCTAACAGATAGTACCGTTGGTGTTTGATATCCTAAGTGCCGTTTTAGGTTCAGAAATATGATATTCCTCAAGTTCATTTATGACCCTATAAGAGGCGCATTGTACAAAGTGTTAAAATATTTTTAGTGTCATCTGAAAACTTGAAATTTCATGAGATTAGATAATTGGTAAGTGATTTTTATTCTTGCATTTTTGCAGAAGTTCTAAAATAGTTTGCTGTTTTGCAGTTTGCCGCTGGAGATGAACTAGAGCTGTTAATCCATCCAACTGGGGTTTTACCTGTGATAGCATTTCTAAAAGGAAATCATGCAGCGCAATTTACTAATATCGTATTTATTACTGGAATGGATGTCCCTTCACGTAAATTCCGTTTCGAGGTTTTATTATTTTTACATAGGCATAGATCAAAAGCTACTTCCATACATAATATTGTTTGGCAATTTATGGTTAAACATTCAAGTAATAAATAACTTACTGCAATTTATTATTATCCTTGAGAATTCTTCCTTTGTTTAATAACCTGATTTTCTGTAACAGATCAGGTCAGAAAACATGTTATTAAGCGATAATAACAATATGTAATTATGCAGTAATAATATAACTGGTTGAGATAATTCAGCAATATACCCAATAATTGTAAACAATGCTGTGTGATGCTATTGAAATATATATTCTGTAGTATTATACTGAAATCTCATACATGGAAATGCAGCAGGGATATTTCAGAACCACTTTCAACACATTTTTTTTTCTTTCCATGATATTTCACTAATAGAGTTATGTTTTTATAATTTCAGGTCATTTATGCTCTTCTTTCGATACGTTTTAATGCACGCATCCGTGTGCGTACGTACACCGATGAAATTGCACCGCTGGAGTCAATAACATCGATTTTCAAAGGAGCAAACTGGTAAGTTAGACTTGAAACTCAAAGTTTCTTTAAACACACTCTCTAATTTTGCTGCAGGTATGAAAGAGAAGTTTACGACATGTACGGTGTTTGGTTCAACAATCACCCAGATTTACGACGTATTCTCACTGATTACGGTTTTGAAGGGCATCCGTTTAGGAAAGATTTTCCCTTACACATATATTCATTCACATATCAACTAAAAGCAATTGCAAATATACTTTCAGGTGGTAATCAGCGTGAATTGGCCCGTGAAAGAAATCTGAAAAAGCAGCAGCAGCATAAGAAGTCACAACCTCATCAGGATGTTAGTGAATTATTATTTAAAACTTTGCTATCCTCTTTTCATGTTTTAATGTTTTGATGTCCTCTTCTATTCACTCATCTGTACGCTAGAATCATGAAATGGATTCATTTAAATTATATGGTTATGGAAGTTTCATCGGTGTTTGCCGACCGAAGAACAGCATTTAAAGAACTACCCTAATGTTTGTAATAGAGTTAAAGAAGTGATATCTCG